AGTTTTGATGTTTGATACCTTGCAGGTGCTAGATAAACTTTCTGCAAAAAAATGGTAAAATCATTCACATCACTCAAGCGCAAGTACGAGTAGTGGCATTCTAATTTTCCGCATTAAAATGTATCGACGTCCCAAGGTCTTCATGGGGTATTTTAGTCGAACAGGGATTAGATTCATGTATTTCATCCCTCTATGTGGTCCGAGCTTCCGCGCGGGCTCGAGGCGGGTCAGAATCGGTATTAGTGTAATAAATCTTCAATGATTGGTCAATTAATCACTTAGTGCTGATGAGTTGGCTATCAGTCCGAAAGGATTCGGATAGTCAGGGACTACAGTAACATATGCCATACTCGATAAAACTCTATTCGCCCGGGATTTCTTGAGTGGGCGGGTAGTTGGGAATAAACATATATAAACGTTCTATCTTGGTTTAGATTTTTAGATACTCATTCATTCTTTGAGGGAACCTTTTGGGAAACTCAAGAGGTGTTGTTCGTTGTCGATATCAATAACCAAATACTGGTATAGGTGTATACCTTCAAAATGTCCTGGCCCTACCGCATCAAATTTCCCACTCCGGAAGAGAAAATCCAAAGTCGTATTCTCCTCGATCGATATGGTCTCTATGCCCAACTTTCCATTTTCATCCCCATCATCCTGTATAATGTCTATCGATTAGCAGTATGGGTTTATTCCGAGCGTCAACGATCGAAAGTCGATTACAACGCCCTTCCTAGTTCTCCTACGTCGAAGAAGAGGAGGACTTCGAGGAGCGCCGAGTGGAAACGAAAGACAAGAAGTGTGGTGTGGTGGTTGGGCGGGGAAGTGGCACCCGGTCGGGGTGAGAGGGGCCAGTGGATTATGGCGGGGGCGTGGGGGGCTTGGTTGGGATTTTTGTGTGTGCATAGGACGGGTGATGGTATGATTATTTATTTGTTTCTGTTGTTGATTGGAGGAGGTGTATTGAGTATACTGTTCTAAGCAAAGTTACTTGGATTGTCTGTATATCGGAATTTGTGGAAGTTCTTCTCTCGAGAGCTTGCAAAGAACAGCAGATATCTCATCTGGGTAGATTTGAGATTGCAAGCGAATCCCCCCCCTTTTTGAACTTACTATTCCATCTCAAGTGGATCGAGTCTCTGGATTATACTCAGCTGTCGAGGTCCTCTCATCGGTGAGACTGTGGTTGGGCTATCTAGGACCTCGAAAATTCATATGTTATATAATTGAACATAATGACTAATGATATATCCAGATTACTTTCATATAACGAAGCGATTTGGTATAGTTGCAGCATCACAATTCCCTGCTCACTATGCACTATCCATGAAATCTTTATATTCACCACTCTCCGTATTATTCGGATCATCGCATGAGCAGCTCAACACCTGGCACCGAATATCCGGTCGAGTCATATGGACTCTTCTTGCTTGCCATGCCAGCTGGTATGTAAATGGTTGGATTCAGATTGGAGTTCTGTACATGAAAGTCACAACACCTATAATCATCTGCGGTATACTCTCTTTCTGGCTCATCAATCTCCTCATTATCACGAGTTTACCAATTGTTCGTCGTTGGTCTTACCGGGTTTTCTTCATCATTCATCTTTTTGTCGCCATTGCCATAATTCCTCTTCTATTCTTCCATGCCACTGCTCTCCGTATTTACATACTCGAAGCATTCGCTCTTTTTATAATCGACCTTGGCATTCGCAAATCCAACACCGTTAAAGCTTTCGCTATCATAAAACCAGTCCCAGAAACTTCACTAGTTGAAGTCACTATCCCAGTTACACCTTCGAAGTTCTCTCAATTTCAATATGCTCCAGGTCAACATGTTTACCTGTCTATTCCTCCATCATCCGTCCCCAAGTCTACAGAGTATAATCGCCATCTCTATGAATTACTCTACAATCCATTCACTGTTGCTTCCGTCTCAGAAACTCCTTCACCACAAATCACTCTTACAATGCGCACTCTCAACGGACCAACTACATCTGCTTTATCTTCTCTTTCTCATCTCAACAAAGCCCATCCACCACTCAACATCGAAGGGCCATATGGAACCTCTCGTAAATTCCCCAATCTAGCCGAGAAATTCGATAGAGTATTGCTCGTAGCCGGTGGCGTCGGCGCTACCTTTACCTTACCCATTTATCGAGCTGTAAAGCGAGAAATGGAGAATGATGGTAGAATAGGTAGTCATGTAAGAATGATCTGGGTTATGCGAGATGCAGCCGAATCATCCTGGGCACTGTCTTCCTCCTCCTCACCTCAAAACGAGAACTCAGAACTCAAAATCGAAAGTAACCCGGGAATAGAATTATACATCACTTCTCCCCGTGCTTCTTCTTCCACATTCGCTTCTTCGCCAGGTGAACCTGGTAGTGTGGAAATGCACAACTTGGCATCTCCATCTACTAATGCGAAGTATTCCAGACCAGATTTGCGCGCGATTGTAGATGGAACCTTTTGTCAAGGATTGGAGGAGAGGGTAGCGGTCCTGGTTTGTGGACCGACGGGTATGGCGAGGGAGTTGAGAGAACATGTAGGGAAGTGGGTCGAAAAGGGTAGGGAGGTGTGGTGGCATGATGAGGGGTTCGGATGGTAGATGGAGGAACTTCGAATTTGGGAATTGAAGAATGTGGGTTTCGATTTGTCACAACTGCTGACTGGGTAGTAAGAGTGTTTGGGTAATCAAGCAGGGTGCAAACTCTGCATGCCTAGTGTCTCGTACCATGTGTTTTCTCTGGAATCAAGGATAGATAAACATGGTTTGTAGATTGAAAGCTGATTATCACAGATTAGATAGAGAGGTCAGATTTAGAGATAGAATCTTCAATTCCACATCATGCAGAGTTTCTTCAAATGACTACTACATTCGAATAGTATCACATTAACAATCACAACACTCTTTATCTAAAAGTAAGTAAATAAAAAGGTTCACTTTTAATCACTGAATGTCATACATTGCCGCTATCAAACATGGGTTCGCGACCCCTTGAAGAATTCTCCGCAACGAGGTGTTTTCTTTTGTGTTTTCAAGACATGTTAAGAATACCACGCATCACACACAGCAATAATGCCATGCTAATTTTCCAACCCACGTTTAACGCCCGTATACCAAACGCAGGATATCAAACCAGGACCCCGCCAGACCTCCAAATGAAACTCCTGTGCTTACCCATACCAGATAAATGAGCTATTCGAACCAACACCCACACAGCAACTAATCAAGCTCCAACTCACTCTGAACAAAGCGCCCAAAAATCTCTCCGCGGCCCTTTTCTCGACGAAGTTGATATTGCACAATTCTGCACCGTCGCTACCCAAAGCTCTTTTCTTGAATGCTTCTTTCGAGAAGTTGAGTTTGCTTTCCGCGCAGTTATCCCCGAAGAGTTATTTCTCAAGACCTTTTCAGAAGAAGGTTTATTTTCCGATGTTTGCATGACTATTTCCCAGAAATCATTCCTTGCACGGGTTTGAGAATCAGTTGGATTTGTAGAATCTTGTGTGGATTTCGCTAATTCCCTCTTTGGGGGATTCTCAGATGGTGTACGAATATCTGCAGGAGCTTGCATGACTGTTGCCCAGAATTCACTCCTTGTAGGTTTCTGAGTGGGTAAGTAGAGCAAAATTTGCCGAAGATTTTATGACTCTCGCCTGATCAGTTAGATCAAGAGCCGCGAACTGTTCTTTACGCTCTGCCAAAGTCTTTGCCATGATATCGTGTTCGATCGCTGCAACACAAAGTCGAGCAATCTTTTTACAAGTCAGGGGCTGACCATTTATCACATCAATGAGCTGCAAATTCCTTTCATCCAGATACCAGTCCCTAAAGTATTGTAATTCCTGTTTCTCTTTCGATATCTGGTGATTTCTGTACTCATCAGCAGATTTATGGCTCAAGACTTACTTTACAGGGTCTGATAAAAGCGCCATGTTGCTGAGATGATAGGGTCGGACTTCTCTCTTCTCTTTGTATACTGATCTGAGTTCGCAACATCTCGTGAAGAGCCGTGTGGAAGAGGGAGACGATTTTTGATTACTGTGTCTTTTGGCTCATTCAGCGTTGGGCTCGTGGTTCGAGTATCTTCAAATAGTTTGGATATTGGCCAATAGTTGAGCTCGGAGGTTCTGAGAAGCAAAGGTGGAGACGGCGTTGTAAGATTGATGACATGATTCAGACTCTGATGATCGAGCGCAGACTGAGTCCCGCAGCACTCGGCAGGAAACGAGGTGTGAATTGGTGATTCCTTTTTACGAGAACTCGCATTGAAGTTTAGGACGGTAAGGATGATTAAGAGTGTTGACAGAATCAAGTTTATTGTGCAATGAAGATACTCCTAAGCATACAAGATTAGATAATTTAATATGGTGTTGAAGAGATCGAGATGGAATATTAAAGGAAAAACGATCACTTGTGTTCTTGAAGGTTACTAACAGCTCCCTCCTCTTTCTATCATTTGCGTATAACCACAACGAAAATCACACTTTCCTCGTCTCTAGAGACGAGACTGCAATTTTGAGAGTACACAGATATTGCCTTTGATCTTGCCTGATCGATGTGCACTGGACGAGGTTTTTGGATTTGGAAACTGGAGCCACACATGGACAAGTGTGATTTTTATCTAGGATTCAACAACTTGGGACGGTAGTACTTGGTCTTGACAATAAATACCTATCTAGGTACGTATACTAAGTAAATTGGAAGTAAGATCGTCGGGCAAAGTTGGATTTCGTGGATTTGTGAGCCAAACAACTTCATGTAAGTCTTAACAAGAGCCCTCTATGATAAAGTCATGTGGACATTTAGACAAGATTATTTTGTCTACACTTGTAGATTTGGTTCACTTCTTTTAATACATAAATTGACATTTAGACCAGCGAGAACATGTTTTGTTGCACAAATTATGGAATTTTCTGTGTCCAGTTACTCGCATTTTGAAGAACCACCTCTGATATGTACAATTTCCCACCTCGCAACAAACAAAAACATGGTTATCTATATGGTGCATCAGCCCTTGCTGCTGCCGCCAATTCCGGCTCCCACTTGTCTCCGTTGGCCAGTAACTGTAAAATGAGTTAGTAAGAGTTGAACCGAACCCGGCGGGTGATTTGAACATAGACATACCTTCTCCTTGTTGTACAATAGCTCTTCTCTCGTCTCAGTGGCGTATTCAGCGTTTGGTGATTCCACGATAGCATCAACTGGACAACTCTCCTGGCAGAAACCGCAATAAATACACTTTGTCATATCGATATCGTATCGAGTCGTTCTGCGACTTCCGTCTTCACGCTCCTCTGCTTCAATCGTAATAGCTTGTGCGGGACAGATCTAAATTATATGAGAATCCGCCACTACTCATGAAAATGGAATAACATACAGCTTCACAAAGCTTGCAAGCAATGCATCGTTCTTCTCCTGAAGGGTATCTTCGTAAAGCGTGCTCGCCTCTGAATCGAGGAGAAATTGGACCCTATATTCTATAAGTATTCGTTGCCACCCATATATATTTTTGAGCTGTATACCTTCTCGAAAGGATAATAAATTGTATATCTACAAGTAGTTAGCCACTGCAATATGGAGGTTGAGAGACTCAATGGCATAACTTACGGAGGTCTGAAGTACTGTTCTAGTACTACGTACATTCCTCGGAACAACTCCGACATGAGGAAGTATTTCCCTGCCTTATCCATCGTACTCTCCTTGCTCTCATTCCATCTCACAGGTTTTGGCAGTCTGAAGCCGGGCGGGGGAGGACCGGCTGGGGTGGCGCCTCGAAATTGAGAAGTCGAGAAAGTCGCTCTAGATGCAACAGGTGTGAATGTGCGAATTGTTGAGGCAGTCAAAGTAGTTAATGGACGACTGCGCGCCACGAGCATAGTTATGGGCTTTGTTGTTGCCATTGTGAAGGGTTGCTCGTGGCAGGATTGTTGGAGATCTGTAACTTGGATATGATATTATTTGAGGGTTGACGGAACTTTACGACTTGATTTCGAAATGACTTTCTGTGATTGGCCAAAAGTTGAAAGCTTCTATTGTACGCCACCACTTCCTTTTATATTTTTGAAACGGTAATATAGATTGAATATAGTCCCCAAGATACAATTTACCATTTCAAACCAAATTTGTACCAATCAAAATTACGCTGCGTAACTCCATCAAACTCGTCGGCGCACCTCTGTCACGTGAATCCGAAATACGCTAAAGCTAAACATTCTGGGAAGCATCTCTATCGTCAAATTCGCATCTACTACTGTATTATCCACAGACGTCACTTCTAATCCTCTCCACACATCAAGATGTTCAGAACCGCCCTTCTCAGATCAGCCCGCAGCGCTGCTAGCAAAGCTGTCCAAAGACCTGCAGCAATTGCTCGTCCTATCAACCAAAGTTCTTTCATCACAAAATCTCAATTCGCCCCATCAGCTTTCCAAGCTGCAAGATGCTACTCCGCAGCCGCCGGTCTCAACAAGGGAGAAGTTGAGGGCAGAATCCTTTCTTTACTGGAAAACTTCGACAAAGTAAGTGTGCTTAATAATGTCGACTGGGAATGTACTAATTTGACCTGTAGGTTTCGGACCCAACGAAGGTATGATATATGATAGGGAAGACGGCCTGAACGCCATGGTTGACATTGAATAGCTTTCTGCAAGCGCACACTTCTCGAACGATCTTGGGTTGGACAGCTTGGACACTGTAGAGGTTGTTATGGCTATTGAGGAGGTTTGTACAAGACATTCACAGTGGGGAACTAAAGACTGATGCGGTCACAGGAATTCAGCATTGAGATCCCAGACAAGGATGCGGATTCTATTCTCAGTGGTATGTCGTCTTGATGGGAACATTCAATAGCGCAATCATCTAACAAATTCCATAGTTGACCAAGCCGTCGAGTATATTCTCCACCAACCAGATGGTGAGTCTCCTACAATATTTCACAAAGGCAAACAGAATCGCTAACATCTTTCACAGCTCATTAGATCATGGAATTGTATAATATGGGGACGGTCAAGATTGAAGTAAGGCAATGGGGGATTCATGGACCAGGAATGAGATTCAAGTGGTGAACGGGCGGCGATACAAGGGAGGGGAAACTTGTACGAGCTTCGATGCGTTCATAGAAGTGATGTGATTCTATGCGCCTTGTAAAAATGTTTAGATCATCTTACTCAACAAACCTCTGTGTTCCTCTCTTAAATTTAAAACATGAAGATACATTAAGTTTGGATATGTTTCAAATTATTCTTTTCACTAAGAACTTTCTCTCCGAACCATCATAATCATCTCCCACTTCCCCGGTCAAAGAAGTGCCTCTATAAAATATTAGCGTCCTCTGATTACGCTATCCCTGTTCATCCACGCACCTCAAAGCTCTACAGAACAATTCAACCTACAAGACACTACAATTGCCCCGCCCACTTTTTTACTATTGATACGAAAAAGAACGAATTCAAGAATCTAGAACTTCGATATCAATTAATTTATCGACAGAAGATAGGATATTCTACTGGCGGAATTGCTTTTGTGAGCGGTAACGCCGCTGTCTCACTGCAAAGAGGACAAAAATCCATCCCCCTTTGCTTAATTCCTACGACATCCCCTACTCATACATCAAATACTACAAGTATAATCGATTTTGCGATACGACCCAATGTCTTCTGGACTCACACGCAGAAGAGGTGGTGGAGGAGGAGCTGGCGATACAGAAAATGGAGAATCGAGTCGTGTTGCATCACCGGCGCCCAAGGCTGGAAATTCTCGCGATACAAGCGGCCCAGAAACATCATATGAGAGCGGAGAGAACGGTCACAAGATTGCCTTTGATCCAAGAGATATTAGCGAAAGTGCAGAGAGAAGCAAACAACCTAAGTTGACGTTAATGGAGGAGGTTTTGTTACTGGGATTGAAGGATAAGCAAGTAGGTGGCTTGATCTGGACAGGTGGTGGTTTGCGCTTCTGCGATTGATACTAATGTTGTTTTATAGGGTTATCTTTCATTCTGGAATGACAACATATCGTATGCGCTTCGGGGATGTATCGTCATTGAGCTAGCATTCAGAGGGAGAGTGAGCATGCAGAAGGATTCCTCGAGGCGGCGATTCCCCTTAGCAGACAGAGTAATTGAGGTTATCGATGACACCTTGACAGGAGAAGTCTTATTGGATGAAGCGCTCAAAATGATGAAAGCGAGTGAGAAGATGAGTGTCAGTTCATGGATCGATTTGATGAGCGGTAAGAAATCGCAATTTCGCACATCTTAAGATCTCAACATTAACACTATCTACTAGGCGAGACATGGAATCTCATGAAAATCGGATATCAATTGAAACAAGTCAGAGAACGTTTGGCTAAAGGATTAGTCGATAAGGGCATTCTGAGAACCGAAAAGAGAAACTTCCTTCTATTCGACATGGCGACACATCCTGTAGCAGACGGTGGAGCAAAGGAGGAAATCAGAAGAAGAGTCCGAAACGTCCTTACACAACGAACTGTTGTACTCCCAGGCAGTCAATTCCTCCCCGAGAACCTCGAATTCAGATATGTGAGAACGATTGCCATGGTATGTGCTGCCTATGCAGCCAACGTATTAGAGAACGCCCTCGCATCACTCGGTCACGAATCCAGAGAACGAGCATTTGCTCAAGTTGATGAGTTACTGGCAGAATATAGCCAATGGCCATTTGGAAAGAGAGCAGGAGGCTCAGCAGGAATAGGTGCAAACTTGGGACAGGTTATTACAGATGTATGTATCACTCTTTATTCACCAGTATCCCTGTCTGTGCACCCCTTCTTAAAATTACATATACTAATACCATGCAAATAGGAAGTAAACAATGGAAAGGATAAAGAACTACAACTTGAAGTCGTTGCCGCATGTTTAAGTGTCTTTACTCGTTTGGATTCTTTGCTATAATTATTTCTCACACATGCAATTCGATCCACGATCTCACACACAAGGCTGAAGTGGGCCGCATCTCGATGACACTTTTATGATGGAGGGAAAATTACAAAATATATCAACACACACGCACAAGGAGATCTTTTGCTATGCCACCGCTACATCACTCATTTTCGTTCAATTGGAAGGGGAGGAGGAGTAGGGGAGTCGGAATATTAGACTCTTTGTCCGTGAAGGAAATGGAGAGAAGAGAAAGGGAAAAGTTCACCTAGTAGTTTCACTCATCTGTTCTTATCTGGGCGGGCGCCAGGAAATGTATTTGCAGATACGGTACGAGGTAAGGGAGGAAAATCAAGATTCAAGAGATGAGGAACTTGGGCATGCATAATCATCGGATTTGCAAATGGATGGGGATTTTCTTGTGAGAGAAAAAGAAAAATCACATCTTACCTTACTTTACCTCACCTTACCTTATGTACCTTTGGAATCTTGTTGTAATAGCAGAATTTAAACAGATTATTAGATTTTTTTATATTTTGGATAAAGATGAAGATGAAAATGAGGATGAGGATGAGGATGTTTGGTGTGAGTGATATGATGATTATGGTTATGGTTCTGCTTCTGAATAGGTATCTTGTGTCTTGTTCTTATATCTTTATGATTCTTAAGGAATACATAGGGGAGAGGGTATAAAAGTTTGCTGGTTTGTTTGTTGGTTGGTTTATTTATTTGTCTACTATTAGTCTACTATTAGTAGATAGGTAGGTGATAAAGCAGTGGTTTGTATATTCTAGATTCGAGATATTTCAATAATAATTCAGTTGTTCACAAAAATTATCTTGTACAAAAATGTTCATTGTAGATGGTATCGTAGAAGACTTCTCTTATGATCAATGTAACAAGTACAATGTCATCATCCATGCATCCATTTTGCTGGATGAGAATGATTCACCTCCTCTCCTGGTCAGTCTACTCCATAGACATGACACTATCACTTTCCTTTCCTATCCTACCCACCAACCACCACATCCTCTATTATAATTTTCCTATCCTCACTCCTAAACACCCAATCAAATCCCTAACAGAACATCATGTCACAATAGCCTTTATTTTTTCTTTCCTCCACCTCCAAAACTACCCTCAAATCCTGGCCTACTCTTCTTCTTTGCACCACCAGCTGGCTTTCCACCCTTTCCGCCCTTCTTTCCCTTTCCACCCTTTCCATCCCTCCTAGCCTTGAGATTCTCTTCTCTCTTCTTTTGTTTCATATGAGTTGCCTTCTTGACACCATCCATCCTGTCACCCCATTCCTTTTCACTCTTCTTCTTCGCGGCCTCCTTTCTCTTAAGGGTTTTCTTCAGTAACGAACTATCGTCCCGAACTTTCTCACCATTTACGCGCTTTTTTGCAATCAACCAACGTTCTTTCTCTTCGATGTCTTGACGTTTCTCGGGATCCATGGCTTCTAGACGAGATTGTTTCTTGGCTGCTGCGGCAAGTGCACTATTGGCATCTTGTGGACCCTTCTTTTTTGGTATGGATTTGAGTGCGGTCAAATCTTCATTGAGACTTTGTCCATCAGCGAATGCGACTCTACCGAAAGCAAAATTGTTTTCGGGTGAGCGAATTAGAGGGCTGAGCAAGCTTCCTGCTGGACTACTTCGTGCTGATACCAAAGCGGCTTCTCGCCTAGCCTCTTCGTCAATCTTGGCTTGGAGTCGGAGTTCTTTTTTGTGGGCTTTGCGTTGCTCTTCCTTTCTGCGACGTTGGTCCATGAGTTCTTGGCGATTGCGAACGGGGGTACCATCGGGATTGTTTGCCTTACGTTGAGCTCGTAGGGCTTCGATGCGAGCTGCTAATCTAGAACGGAGAGCTTCGGAGTCGGCTGGAATGGTAATGTGCTTAGGAGGGGCGGTAGGAGGGATAGTAGAGGATGTAGATGTACCTCCACTGGCATTGTCCTCGTTTGTTGCGGAGAAAGTAGATGAGGGCGGCGATGATTTGGTAGATTCAGGCTCCTCTAGACCTTCAGCTTCGAAATGACCAATTTCTTGATCATGCTCTGGTTCCTCATCGGCTGCAATTTCATGCTCGATTGTCTTTTTGGTAGGGGTCTTGTTAGTGGCAGTGTCCTTGGTCACTTCTTCAGCCACATCATCTTTTGTAGTCGACTCACTAGCAGGAGTGTCTTCGGTTGGTAATTCGACGACTTGTTTGGCAGCTTCCTCCCTCTTTGCCTTTTGTTTAGCTGACTTCTTGGCTGCCTTTGCCTTCTTCTGTTCCTCTTTCTGGTTTCTCTTTTCCAATTTTGCCGCCTCTTCTTCTGGTGTCAAACCTTTCTTGGATGTAGAGTCTTTTGGTGTCGCAGATTTAGATGTCTCTTTTGCGGATTCAGCATCGGTCTTCAGCTTCTTTGCCGGCTTCTCGCTGGCCCTTTTCAATCCTTGTTTTGGTAATTCTTTCTCAATACCCTCGACTTCGGAACCCTCCTCCACATCTTCAGACTCTTCCAATTTTCTCTTCTTTGCTCTTTCATCCATGACATCCTTTGCGGTCTTTGCAGAATCTGGGTCAAGCTTTGCGCGTCTTGCAGCAGCAGCTTGTTGCTTAGTTTGCTTCTTCTTTTTCCATTGATCCTGCATATTGGAAAGACAATCAGCATTGTGGCACTAGCAATTGAAACCAAGATGAATTTTCAACATACACTGGTATCTTCGGCATAGTAGTATTTCGCTGGAATCAAGGATAGCAATCCATCGAATGCCTCTGCATGCTCACGCAGTCTGTCCTGTGAAGAATTGTTAATGGATAAATAGGAAAGGCGGGGAAAAGAAGACAAACTTGAAGAGTGCTCTCTGCCATCTTTTACCAATGACAAATGAATCACAATAGGAATACTGGTGAGACAAAACTTGAATTAAATAAATGACGTATGTTTTGATCCTAATACAATCAAAATAACATAACTATCATAAAAGTTGTTCTGTGTGTGTATGGTACCTAGGTAGGTGTGATTGAAATTGGAGTAAAAAAGTATGAAGCTTTTCTTCTTCTCCCTCTGTACGATAATCCGAGCCAAAATTAATTTTTCGAGATTTCTTAACTCCTAGTGCACGAACTTTTGGTGAATTTTGATTGGTCAGCTCGAGCCAATCAAGGGTCGTTTTTATGGGGCTCTTGGTGAAATATCCATTTTAAGCGGACGAGGCGGGCAAGGTGAGTGGACTCACTCTCTACCTCTACAAGGTACCTAGCACATACTTGTGCCTACCCTCCTAGTAGATAAGTGAAGTCTGAGAAAAATAAGAAAAGTCAAAAATCTCAGCCTCATACATCAGCCTCATACATCAGCCTCACACATTTTGTCGGTACCCGTGGACGCCCGTACCTATCAATCGACATCGTGGCAGTGCAATGCTGCAAGTCAATCTTGTGGTTGGGATTTCTTGGTGACCCGCCAACAGATGATCTGATCAACCGAAAGCAAATCAATTATTTGCTGGGAATCACATAAGGAGTCCAAGAATCAAGGATTTCAATATAGAAGTCTCATCTAGCTATTTATTCTTTTATCTTATTATACCTGGGTAGCCCCAAGCAACATGTGGATCAAGTATATGATGTCGTGGCAATCATTATCACCGCTACATCTTTGATAACTTTCTCAATCTTTATAAGTTTCTGCGATTCCTTGTTGCACCAACCAGCTCCTTTTTCATCCCATCAGCATATCGGCCTCCCTTATTCGCCATATGAGACCCCAGTTCCAGATACCCACCACCTTTCCCTGACATATCTGGGGTACATTTTCTGCTGCCCAATATCATAGTGATATCGCAAAAAGCTTGATAAATCGAAACCCTACCAAACAAAATTCTCTTCCAAGCAGGCTGAGCTTTTTCAATCCGCTTCTTGTCAATAATCCCCAGGTTTGATCTGCCGCATTTGTTGCTTTGCCTTCCTGTGTGTGATTCACTTCAGAGGAACGAGAGAGTAAAAAGAAAGAGCCCCCTTTCTCTTTTTTTCCAGTTCAGCCTCATCGTATACCTCAATCCGCCGGCGAAATATGTCTCCGCAAGATTTCGTTGAAGCAAACTCGCTTTCTGGTCTGATCCAGCTTGCTGGAAACCCTCCGAAGTATCCACGAAATCCAACCGAGCAGAAAAGGGCCAATCTAGTTCTCTATATCGCTAGAGTACCTGGTAGCAATGGTGCGTTTGCGTGCATATAGGGCGTTGATCGTCATAGCTGACTATGTTTTCTAGATATCATCCTTACAACCTTGAAACCACAACTCAAGAATGTCACATCCGAAGATGTCGCAAATTCTTTGTACTACTTACATCTAAACTCGGATGAGGATGCCCAACTCTTACCCGAAGAGCAGCCGATTCCCTCCCGGGCACTGTCTAAAAAGACTTTACCCCGCAAGCCTCTACCCGATGGCTCTAGGGCCCAGTCTTTGGATATCGATAGGCAAAGTGTATTAAACTTGGAGCGCCTACAGCACCAAGCACCTGCGCTAGATATCCAGAAGGATGATACTTCGGGATACGATGAAATCTTGTCCCCGCGTGACAAAATTGCCAATACGCCAATGGTAGCAGAAGCAGGTATTGCTCGGCGGGTTGTAGGTCAGCATCCTTCTATGGCGCGGTCAAATACCGTCAACAGAAAGCCTATGACAAAAATAGTCCCTCAGAATTCGATGTTCACTCCAGAGTCTTCTCAGACTGGCAGTCCTATTCACAATGATCTGGAGACATCACACCGGCCTCAAAGTAGCCATACGATGTTTGAAAGACCCAAACCAGTTGATGATTCTGCAAAGGCGTTTTCGATAACTATCATTCGACGAGATCCAACCTCGGGCGGCCAATGGAATGTCGGCATAGTTGAAGGGAAATCAAATCCTCCCACTGTAGGGATGACGGCAACTAAAAAACCTTACTATGACATTTCTGTACATATCACAACGCCAGGCTATACCTATTTTCGCAATCATACTCACCCAATAGGCAATAACAAGCTCGGTGGTACAGCTCGAGCTCGGGAGTCACAAGGAGCTAGATTCCAACCCTCCGGAAATGAAGTCCCCACATCAGTGACGCAAAAGGCTGGGGTCTCCGGATCTGGGTTTCACAGTCAAATATCGATGGAATGGGCTAGTTCATGGAATCAAACTTTTAAACAACACAGAAGGGCAATATCTGATTTCTCGACAAATCACAGCAGAAACAACAGCGGTAGCTCGGAAGGTCCGCAGGAATCTGATCCAGAAAATCGGTCCGCGGATGGGACCGAAAATTCTCGCGCCAAGGGTTACACATTCTTAAGTCCTTGGGGAGGTACCTGCACTTTCTCCACTGGTGGCGCTGGCCGGTCCTTACGTTGTCTACACAAGCTACCAGCCCCAGTCTCCGCAGATTCCACTGCCTCTTCGTCAAGCTCTGTAACTGTGAGCGAACTTCGCTTCAATTTACCAAGTTCAGATTTATTCGATAGAGAGAAGATGGACTTGGCTGCAGCTCAAGTCAAGAGTGGGTCGACTAAACTCACACGAAAACTAGGAAGTTTCCGTAAAAGACTATCTAAGCCTAGCCCTCACCATCCATCTGAAACTCAGCCGCACCAAACGTCTCATGCTATCCCATACGCAAGTGACGGGACAGATCTTTCCCATCTGCCACCTAGACCTTCCTCAATTAGCTCGTCATTTGAAGAAGACTCTCCGCCCTTGACACAAAGATTAAATAACTTCTTAGACGAGCTGACAATCTCGAACGATAATGACGATCGGCTAGACCTTAGTATTGGACAGGAAAAAGCCGGTGGTGGGAACAGAGGCAAACGTGCAAAACTTGGGAAACTTATCATCCATGACGAGGGATTGAAGATGTTAGATCTGATTATAGCGGCTAACATTGGCGTTTGGTGGACCGTTTGGAATCCAAACTAGGCTCATATTTGGAATGTGTACTTCTTCCGCATTTCTGGCACGCATGATACTTGAAAGGGGACCAGGAAGGTCCGCATAATCTTTGAATATCCAGCTATATGATCTACGAAAATTTCACCTTACCAAATTTCGGTGGCGAATTGGCGCCAATATTTATGGAATCAAATACCTATTTGGAGTTATTTTAGTGTGGCGCATTCATCGGAGGATTATGTCAATGAAGCATCACACGCTCTACAAATCATCAGCCGCGTAGATATGTCTATTTTCTCCTTCGTTCTGTGCTTTAGTGTTTCCCCTAGCCACTATCTATGATGTACAATTTCAGCTTAATTTCACGGGGACCTATGAGGACTCCGACGATCCATCGTTGTTGCTTGTTGACTTTTTCTATTCAAGTATATGCAATCTCGCAACGTGGCAAAAGTAACTTTATCTAAAGTTCGGTATTGATGTAGTACATCATCACATGGAAACTGTTTGATTTGGCCTTTCCCTACGCATCGATCTCTCTTGGCCAATTGCAGGTTGCTTTTACACTTGCTTTTACACAAGACCACGTTCCGCTATGATAGTCCTTTCGTTTTCTATGCAAGAAACGACCTCATTTTAATGATTCACATGAAAAATCAGGATGGGAATACTCAGTTACGAAAAGAGACGGTATAACAGGCAACAAGGACGATTGGCGTTTTTCTAGTGACATGAAAGCTCTTTCCTCCGTAGTCTGAATACACAATGCCATCTCCTTTGTCCCATCTCGCTTGATTGTGAAGAAAACCGCACCTCCTTTCAATATTTCGGCCTCTTGGCGGTCCCTTGGACTGTTTACTGGGGGCGACAGCTCTTGCCTCGACTTTCCAGTGTCACTTTGATGAGGAGAATTCCCGTATATAAAGTCTCACACTTCTTCCCCTCTGCTTCTCATTTTTTCATCAACTCATCAACTCACATTTGCTTGACTTTGCTGAATAACCTCGCTTCGTACAAACACCCTAGCTCATTCCATTTGCTTTTGGATCAATCACTCAAGTCAATAAACTCTTCCCTACAATCAAAATGCGTTTCACTATCGCTACTGTTGTTCTCTCTTTGGCCGCCATGGTCGTTGCTATTCCCACTACGGAATCAACAATCTTTGCTCGTGGTGGAGGTCAAACCTGTGCTCAAGGTCAAACTCTCTCATGTTGTCAATCTGTTACTAGTGGAGGTGATGGCATTCTAGGCAATCTATTGGGATTGAACTGTAAGTTATATTTCATTAGCCCGTTAATATTCACCAATCTACAAGTACTGTCTCGTCCGGTCCAGAAGTCCTTGCTAATGACAATAATAGGCGCTGAAATCCCAATCCCGATCCTTGGTGTCGTGCTTGGAGGCAAATGTAACTCCGCACCAGTCTGCTGTAATTTGAACGGCGGCAACACCAGCGTAAGTCTTCTCTATTCTTCATTAAATTTCTTCATCTTACATGGCTAGCCCGATTGCGATGACGATTCTAACAGTGGTGGTACACAGGGTGGAATCAATGTTCTCACCAACAGTTGCGTTGCCATTCCAATCGTTCTTTAAATGGTCAAAAGCCTCGAATCCTCCACGAAAAGGAGCATTACTGATCAATCGATCATCACCCGTTTCCTTATCTCCCATCTACCCGTCATCTCAGCAACAAGAAATATATCTTTTGACTTCTTCGACCTAAATCAGCAATATACACTTCGAAGCGTTAAGCATGGAATCCAACCCGGTGGCCGTCTTCACGTATATGTTTGTTCTCTTTCGGCACTAGGACTCAGTATTGACTTTGCGAGTGTGTGATTCTCTCTTCCTTTTCAGATGATGTCTCAATTCAACATGGGACACTTCTCTTTATTCTCTCCTCGTGCATGGAATCTCGTTTATACATGGATATTGATATGGTTGTTCAAATGGTTCGGTTTGGAAGAGTTACATATTGCCAGGCAGTTACTTTTTACTTCTAACCTGAGAGATATCATTAGTATGTATGTGTGCAATACCGAGACTTTTCACGATACTGCCACTTTTACTTTGGTGAATACATGTGATTCTTGCTGGTGACGCAAATTTGTTTTATATTGCATTGGTGCGTAAAGCAGGTCATCTGTACCATGTCTCATCGGGTGTACGACTCGGTTATCGAGGTATCTTACTTTGAGGCTGGATGGGGTATGTGATACGGCAGGAAATAACTTGCTCATGATTTTATGCGCACGCCACGGAGATACACAACATCTATTTCGCTGTGTATTTTGGGAACAGATGTTTGGGGAGTTGAGATGTGGAGATGGGAGGGGTAGAGTGGATGTATGGGGTATGGGGTATTTAAAGAAATAGCTAAAAGGTCCAGTTTGAGTTTGAAGAAGACGATATGGTTTTTGTGTATTAGGAACAAACTACAATTCAAAGATACATTGTTAGGGTGGGGTTGTATTTTGTATTTGTATTTGTGAGAGGAAAGGGAAATGAAGATGAGGGGTGTTTATTTATGGAATTGTGGTAGTATGTACCTATGTATCTTTTTGATAGTGGTAGTGGTAATGGTAGTAGTGGTGTAAATAGTGGCGTGATCATTGTGTTCACTAATGTGATGTGATGAATTGTAATGGGGGCTAAATTTTTGATGGGTGAGTATTTATTTATTTATCTATCTATCTATCTAGTAACTAATTGACTTTTCTGATTCAGATTCAGTTCATAGTGGCGAAGAAGTGATATGGTTGTTTTGGGGCTGTGGAAGGAGTAGAGAGGAGGAGGAGGAGGAGGATTAGAAGGAGAACGAGGGAAAGCTAAGCTTTGCAGGGAATAGAATCGATGGATATTTGTAAATTGCATAGTACTTATCTGATATATAACTTCCTACGTATAATATAGTTGAGACTTGGAAGGAACAAGTCTGAAACTTCGATGTGAGGGATATGTGATTGTGTTGTTTATTTGTTTGTTATTTTATGTACCGAGTGTGAGTTTGTGGTGGGGTTTGGAGGGTTGTGATATGCTGTTTTGAACTTGGAGGATTTCTTGAGGCTGATTTGGATGTCGATGATCGAGCTTCTTATGTTCCTGAGGTGTGCGAGGGGAGTTTGTGTCTGATTTGATGGTATGTGTGACGAGGGGTGTTTGACTAGGTAGGTAGATATATGGTAGGTAGGTATACAAGTAGATGCAACATTAGAGGGCTTTTGACTCTCGACTTTTGACACTTATTTTTGTCTCTGTAAGATGCATGGGTGAAAAATGAAGCAGTCAGTAATTTTAGGAGGCGAGAGGAGTTGAAGATCAAAATCTTATAAAGTGTTCTATATACTATAGTCGCTTCTGTCTATCATTATCATACCAAAACGCCCGCTTGAGGAAATACTACAAAGGAGCTTAATTCCCTCCGTCCGATTTTGTCGTCGAATTCCCACACAAAATTAATGATAACAAAAAGGTGCTCCAATCCATACATCAAAAATCATGCCGGCATCCATCCCAGTCCAATCTCCCTATACACCCAACTTCCCTCTCCTAATGACTTATATACTGAAACACCGCACTAACATCCTCGTCTCCACACTCCTGTCTTAACAACAGATCCTGTATTGTTCCCAACCCTGCATTAACAAAATGATTCCATGTACTCGTATCACCATACATCATCGCCTGGGCCTTCAAAAACTGTTTTCCATCCGGCTTGCAACGTTTACATTTGAACGTATCATGAGTATCACTCGTCGTGTCTTTCCTATATTGAAACAATTCTCTCAAAGAATCTAAACTAAAATGTCTTTCGACATCTTCCGCAGAATCAACAACACAGGATGATAGCGATTGTTTATGGGATTGACGTTGGAAGATCTTTTCTTCGATGGTACCAGTGGCGATAAAGCGATATACGAAACAATCTTTCTTTTGACCATCACGCCATACTCTAGCGAGAGCTTGTTGATCAGCAGCTGGGTTCCAATCGGGATCGAAAAGAACAAGTCGATTGGCTCCAATGAGATTGAGACCGCATCCTCCAGCTTTACTACTCAGCAAAAAAACAAATTCCTGGCCATTCGGATCGTTGAATTTGTCGACTAGCTTTTGACGCTTCGTTACATTCATGGTACCGTCGAGACGTAAAGACCCATAGCCACGGCTTCGACATAGTTTATCGAACATGTCAAGGGTTTGTGTGTAATTGGAGATTAGCACGATTTTATCATTGGTATCCTGACGGATGCGTGCGAGCATGCGGTCGAGAACTTGCATTTTTCCTGAATACCAAGGTTTGATATCACGATCGCGACCGCGACCATCTTTTGGAACGTAGTCTTCGGGCCAGTATTGTTCGCAGCCGGGAAGATCTTCCGAAAGATTTAAAAGGTCAGGATGATTGCAGAGTTTCTTGAGCATGCCGATAGCTTTGAGAGGCTGACTTCCTTTTCCTCTCAAAAGAGCTTTAATGTCTGGACTAGTGATAAAATGATTGTATAGATCGAGCTGAAAGGGTGCGAGACCGCAAAAGACGACGTGCTCATATTTGACAGGCAAATATTTGGAAAGAATGTCGTTTGTTCGGCGAATGATAAATTTGTTGACGACGTTGAGAAGTTCTTTGATGCATTCGTCTCCCTTTTGTCGATCTTTATCGCTACCAGCTGCATCTCGACCACGTTGAATTGGCAATTCATATTTCTTACGGAATTCCATTCGAGTGCCCAAAAGACCTGGATTGGCGAAGCTGACCAAGGAGAAATATTCTGTTAAATCATTCTGAATTGGTGTTCCAGATAGAATAACTCTCCTTGTAACATTGAGGCTGTTCAATGCCACAAATGTCTGACTGTCTCCATTCTTCAAACGATGACCTTCATCACATAGCATCAGTCCAATTTGAGTGTGTTTAAGCTCATCAACATAAAGTCGTAAAGTCTCATAAGAAACAATAATAACAGGTCTTGTAATGGATCGACCACTAGCTATAGCCCACTGTCGTAATTGCTGGATAAGTTCCTCCTTTGAAGCTTTGCCATCGATTGCAAATGGCTGAATGGCATCCGGACCTAGCCACTTGACTAATTCATTTGCCCAGTTCTTGACTAAACTCGATGGACAGGCAATGATCGCCTTGTTGATAGTAGGCTTCCCAGCATCAGTAGATTGCTTCAACATTGTCCACATAAGAGTAATGCATTGTAGAGTCTTTCCCAGACCCATCTCGTCTGCCATGATACATCCATTCGCCCTATCGTCCACCATACCAGTAACGCATCTGTACATGAACTTAACACCTTCAATTTGATGAGGTCGCAAAACTTTCGCGAGTCGAGGATCTATCACAACAGGAACCTTAGGTCGTTCACCTTCCACAACTTTTTTTATTCCTAATATTTCCGCAAGACTTTTATGTGCCAATGGGGCGTCCAGCTTCAGTACCGGTTTCTCGGGTTCACCGTCCTTCTTCTCGGTCTCATTCTTGGCCTCTTCTTCCTCTTTCTTGGCTTGTTCTATACTCCTCGGCTTCTCATCAATCGTAGGGTCATAGAGAACAATCGCAAACTCGCCACTAGGGTCATGTAAAGGTTTCGCAACAAACACCGCTCCCTGCCTCAGTCCAAGTGTTGGCGGCGGTCGATTAGGATTATATCCTCCCCCATCTTTATTTATCAATGGTACCGAAAATCGTTTCCTAAACATAGTATCCTTATCCTTAACTTGGAAAACAGGAAACTTATTCGATTCTCTATTCGCAAGAGCTAATCGATCCTCATTTGTCCAAGGTTTATCTCCATCTTCCGCTTCGCCATCTGCACCTCCATAATCAACCTTTCGCCGCTTTCGAGCGGGCTTTACGGAGGCTCGGGTTATTGTCGCTGAACCAGGACATCGGAATGGTTTTACTAATTTGTCGACGGATTGAGGAGTTCCACCATATAGTCGTCCTCTCTGCGTCGAAGGAGGAGCATTCTCCTTATCTTCGCCCGATGTAATATGAAAAGGTTGTTTGAGCCTATCCTTTGATTGAGGAGTGCCCGCAAGTCCAATCCTCTTTTTCCCCGCGGGGGGGATTGGGGTTCGTGCCTCTGTTTGCGCGTCAACAGTATCGTTTTCACTCGGTGGCGTTATCATTATGCCGTCGATTAAACAGACCCTGTGTCCTGAACGCGCTACTGTGACAGTTCTAAACAACCAAAATCGTTGCTTTTTTAATCAAATTGTGGTCGCGGTTTTGCAATTTGATGTTACCAGATTTCTTGATGTGGTGTGGCGATGGAGAGAGAGGGTTGAATGTTGGACGCGTTTAAACTTCGCGAAATCACGTGACTGTACACAAACACAGCACTAGTGTATTAGTTCCTTCCGTATTATCCGTTCGGATTTCAATCGCTGTGCTGAGTCCACGACCTTTTCCCGACTTCCATTATTGTTCTCAATTGCAAAGTAATGTTTCATAAATATCTCACAGCTAAATTTGATTCTAGCATGGTCAAAGAAATCACTGATTGGTAGTTTCCTCTCAACAGTCGCCACCTGTGATTCTCCTTTGCCCCTTTCAAACCCTTTGCTTTCCTTAATTTGGCACTGCATCCATTACCTTGAGAAGATTTGTAAGAATTCCAGAGACAGTTCACATCGCATCTATCATGGCCCGGTAACTGCTTTGCTGGTTGAAAGTTCTTTACACATAACAAAGAAAGTGCATCATTGAGGGGCTGACTGTTGTATGATTACAATGCTATTCATTGAAAGCCAATACTCGTTGCACACTATTGTCATCTCCAATCTGACATTTGTGACATATCTTGGTCACTTTCGTGGTGTTGGATAATTTACAGTAATGAACTACAAAAGACTCAAAATTACGATTGCAATTCTAATGCGGGACCCTTCCTCCTATCCAATGGGGTGAAATAAATGTATTTTGTATTTTCGAACTTTTATTTGCTCATCTATCTCTTTCCTGTGACAACTTGGATGATGTTCAACATCCAATCCTCGCACAGACTGACATGAAAGTACCTCAAGGACTGTTTGGAATGCTAGCTCGAGATTTGAAAGTTCTATTCAACTCGTCCATTCCGGCAATGGTGTGTCTCTTCCCTAGTTATCCCTATGTGTACGTGTTGGAAGATAGTAGTAAAATGAATTATGGTGTAGAGTCTTGAAATTTTTTGCAGCCCTTTTCCCCTTCTGTCAATCGTCTTTGAATGTGTAAGTCTTTGGAAAACTCTCCACTGCCAAAATTAAGAATAGATATTGTGACGAAGAGATCGTGATTAAATCATTCGTCGTGGAAAGTCCAAATGTGTCTGCGATCTGAAAGAGACTTCCCATGATTATAAGATTGATAGGAGGAGCTCTAGTATTTCTGATCAACCATCGAAGAAACACATCTTACAATAGGTACAAAAACACCAAATACTAGAAGCCGGGTTGCTGCCTTATAGGCAGTATCTTCATTGCCCGTTTGAAAAGCACTGCGGAAGCTTAATGATGCATACGATACGAATTCCTTCGGCGAGAAAAACGTTTCTGCGATTTGTTAGCAAGACCTCAGCCAAATCAAAATCATGAGCCTAACGAGATCACGCCGCAGACTCAAATATCTGAAAGAAATCTTCAGAGAAAGACTGGCTTTGGGAACTCTCATTTCTTGATATAACCCACTCCCAGAACAACGATGCAGTAAAAAAAAAACCTCCGCGCATATGAATTGTGGGCGAGCTGGCGTACGCGCTGATCTAGAGCCCTTGTGCAAATACAAAGAAGGAACCCCTTGTAACCCCACCTCCCCCTTTCAAAGACTTATAGTTGTCCCAATATACATCATACAACCTCTCTCATACTCTCATACATTACTATATATTATTACCCTGTTACCGAATGAGTTTGACTGATATAGAGACTCTACGCTATGTGAAAAGCGTCTGTCCAGAATCTCGGCACATTGATTGTCTCCTAGGCTCTAAAACATTACAATAAGTCAACAACAGAGCCGAAGAAATCACCAGTGTCAGCAAGCTGCAGAGACGTCAAAGTGAAAATACAGAGTTCAAGTAGAAGAAAAGCTATGCTGAACTAGAGCTCCGAATCCGCATACTGAGTATGCAGCGGAAGCACAATCAGTCAGAACTGAGAAGTTTCATGGTGTCAGCTAGGAATAAATTGTGAGAAGGATTTGTGTCTCGACCTATTTACGCACTTCTTTCCTCGCCCTGTCTTCTATCGTTTGTAGCCGAGCCATCCCCTGTGTACCACACACCTCTCGACTTCTCGAGGGCCTCCGCCACAGAATCTCAGAGATCATCGATTCTCCTGCCGATCCTTATATCTAACTCTTCTACTAAGATACATCTCGTGGAGTATATCTATCTCCTATACAATTTTGATCAACACCATAATTTGTTTTTGAGACTTGCATGGTATGACTGGGTTTGAACTTTGGACTTTTCCAGTGACTGAGTCACTACAAAATTCTCCAGCCACCTCTCTTTGTACCACGGATATGATATGAGATGCTTGTCTCAAGAGGAACGTCCTGTTTCTTTCTAACATGGAATGCTTCTTGGCTGTCCATATTTGCATAGTGACATCGTCGATGTACTGTTGGTCAAGGTTAGTTCCTCTTCAGATGGAGCCTGGATGGGTGACAACGGAAATATGGAATTCGTGTAATTATAGTGCCTCATGTTGACGTTGCATACGGCTTTCAGACTTCCAAAGCAAGATTTTGAAACTTAAAGGGGGAGAAGGGGTTGGTTCCAAGCATTTCTGTATTGCTTTCTGTCCAAGATTTAGTGCGACGCCATTCTACATTGTAGGTATATGTCGGTGTTGTCTAAATTTGTGGACCCCTCTGTATGTAAAAAAGCCCTCTCGGCCCCCTCGTGATAAAATTGGGTTTCGTGTGAAGCAAGGGCCTCCAATTCCAAAATGGGACAAAAGACGCCAGCCCCTGAGTTGCTTCCCTGTTCATTTTAATATATTAGAATCATACATTATAGGAAGTTTAGCAGTATTTAGTTGATTGCCGTTGTGTATCGAGTAGAGTCTCTTGGGTGGATACTCTAGCTATGCTTCATGGTACTGATGGACCCCTTGATTTCTGTCTGCTTGATTTGGTTCGGAAATTCATTATTCCGTTCCAGAAAGCTAAGGTTAATGCTTCGCCAAGAATATACCCCGCCAACTTATATTTCCGATTCTTTCTTTGAACCTCTTGGGTGCCAGCAAAAACGAGCGAAGAATTCAAGTTATTGAGAGTCTAAATCAGTACCGGTGGATATCTTATTTTGAAGTACAAAGGTGTCTCTGTTGCTTAGCGCCAACTATGATAGCTGGCTTTCTATCATAGGCAAAGCTGGAATTGAGCGAAGGAACAGTACAGTTGTTTACTGTATATATAGTGAAGCGAGCCACACACGGCTTTCATAGAAAGTGCTGGGTGTTTCAGAGCGGGAACCAATCTACAGCCTATCCCCAATTTATCGCCCAGATTTCAATCGGCATACTATCCGTTGATCCGAGACATGATCCCACGATAAAGACAATTGCCAATACCCCTTTATTATCCACACAGATCGCACAATGTCCGCAGATTTCTGGGCTGGTTACATTAGTGGTGCCATCAGTATCATAATCGGCAACCCTCTCGATCTTCTCAAGGTCCGTCTCCAAGCCTCAAGTTTGTCACGTGCCAATGGTCTCTCTCCGATTCTCACCCCGTTCACTTCTACTCCGCCTATTACTACCGCTTTCCCAACCCCGAGCTCCCTTATCCGTGGAACTGCCGCGCCCATTCTCTCAACTGGTGCTCTCAACGCCCTTCTCTTTGTAACTTATAACAGAGCACTCTCATTCCTCCACCCTACTTACACCCCCAACCACCCGGAATCCGTACCCCTATTCTCGACCTTTCTTGCAGGCACTATTGGTGGTCTCTGCTCCTCTATTGTTTCTACCCCAACAGAATTGATAAAGTGTCGCGCTCAGCTCTCTAGCCCTCCTGTCTCTTCCCTGGCGATAGCTCGCTCTATTGTATCTACGACCGGGATTCGAGGTCTGTATTTCGGGGGTGTAGTTACCGCGTTGAGAGATAGTATAGGTTATGGGTTTTATTTTTGGAGCTATGAATTGTCATCGCGTCTCTACTCTTCTTATGTCCTCTCGTCATCGCCAGGAATGGAGGTTGTTACTACCAGTCCTAGGGACGAAGCAATTAAAATTCTCCTCTGCGGTGGCTTAGCCGGTGTGGTGACATGGGCTAGCGTTTTCCCCCTTGACGTTGTGAAAACAAGACTACAAGCTCAAATTCTTTCTCCTACACTGGTTTCAGAAGCCACACCCCTTCTTATCGGATCTCCACCATATAAGCCCAGAGGAGCCTTAGAAATAGCAAGACTAGCATATCGCAATGAAGGCATGGGCGTGTTTTTCAGGGGATTAGGTGTATGTAGCTTGAGGGCTTTCATTGTGAATGCAGCGCAGTGGGCAGCATATGAGTGGATTATGAGGGAGCTGGGGGCCAAAGGGGGGATCGACACTGGCGTCAAGGATAGAGGCAAGAGTGAGATTCTGATTTAGAAGGAGATGATTCGGCTTGAAATTTTCCTTTGGAGACGAAACTTTTGCAGATGGTGCATACATAGAGGAAGAGGTAGGAAGTCGGACAAAGGCCATGGCAAAAGAATAAAGAAAGAACATTTGGATAGATGTTATAGATTAGGATTGAGAACTAGGTGTAGTAAATAAAACCAGACAAGGTGCTCTTAAAGGTACCGCCTGCACAGTTAAGAAAGCGTTTAGCTCAGGTACATGAAATCCAGTCAAATTTCAAGACTAGCTTGTCTGTTACTTGGTAATTACTCAACGCTAACGTTTTAGCCAACACTAATCAATTTGTATTCTGGATAAACGTTGACATTTACACGATACTAAACATTTAAGTGCTGAAACATTGACCACCGTTGGCACTGACAACACTACCAGTCATCCATGCACTCTCTGGACTACAAACCATACCGACAACGCTAGCGATTTCTTCGACGTATGCTGGACGACCACCCCATTTCTTACCAACTGCCTTGACCTCTTCGGTATCCCACTCACGTACACCTGACAGTGGGATCAACGGACTCCATTGTGCTTGAGCTGCAAGCACATCGTCGCTACATTGACGGAACATATCTGTAAGTACCGAACCAGGGTTGATAGTGTTGACGGTGGCATTCTCAGCCAATTCTCTTGACCAAGTTCTTGTCATAGCCTCAAGTGCACCCTTCGTTCCATTGTAAAGCGTCAAGTATGGAGTGCCGACCTTTTGTCCGATACTGGAGACGTTCACAATTCTTCCAGATCGATCTGTTGGTAGGTATGGCTTGCATGCTCCTGTAAGCAAGATAGGAGCTAGCACGTTGGTCTCGTACGACTTGATAAAATCCGCGTGCGTAACTGATTCAAGAGGACCAATGCCAATCATAATAGCAGCACAGTTGATCAGGATATCAATTTGTAGCTTGTTGGTTTTGGCATTTGGTGGCATCTTTGAGTTACACGCCTCAATGATGGCTGCACAGCCTTCAGGTGTAGAGATGTCAGATCGACATGGCACGGCAACAACTCCATGATTCTTAGTAAGCTCTTCTGCGAGTTCAGCAGCAGAGCTGTCAGAGCCTTCGGTTAGATAGCTGATTAGGATGTTGGCACCCTTAGATGCGAGGTTTCTTGCAATACCAGCACCAATGCCTGGAAACAAGGTTAGCTAAGACACTGAGAAACGAGTCATTTATTAATCCTTACTTCGTGCTGAACCTGTTACAATCGCAACCTTGCCCTCATGCACTCGACCGGTGTTGTTGGAAGCCATTATGAATATTGGATCACTAAAAAAATCTTGGGTACTCAAAATTTAGGGCGGGCAAAAACGTAAAACGTTAATTTTCCAAAGCAAGTGACGGGAGGAAGGAAAGAAGAGACTATCAACCCCCCACGTTTGCATACCAATGTATGGGACCCATACTATGGGTAACATGCCCATGACACATGACGGTGGAGCAAAAGATTACTGAAGAGGCAATGAATGGCAAATTTAATCAATCCCACGTTGCATTCGTGAGATTCTGGGAATCGTCTCCGCCCGGGGAAGGAGAAGCACGAAGCCTCCTATGCAAAATCTCTCTTCACTGTGGGGTCATTGGTGGTAAACGTTGGGATTTGAAATCATTTGATATACTACATATGATCTTGCATTGTACAGATAGTACACCGTACAGAGCCTGTCTCGCCTGTCAACTTCTCAATTAGCCGGGGTCTTGACCAATCCGTCCACAAACTCTATCGAAAATAGAACCTTTTCATCTGGAAAGTTGAAACTATGTATGTAGTCGGTAAGACTTACAGAGTTCCTCAGAAAAATTCAAGTTGCACGCAAAATTCTGCAACGGAGCAGTTGCCAAGGCTATTAATCGAAATGAGTACGTGGTTTTCATTAGTGAATCAACGATTGTGCCGTGTCTTTATCATCTAGAACCTTCATTTCATGTATAATATCGAGAATATACCTCTATTAAACTTCACTAGTGACAAACGGGTATTCTATGGCTTCATCTTAAAGTTTCAATACCCGGTAATATCGTGAAAAACACAGCACTCATCCATCAAAAACGGTCCACTAAGATCCCTACACTAGCCTAAGGAGGAAGTCAGTTGTTTTACGACAAGAGCTAAAAAGAGGGACAAGCCCTGTCAAATTTCTTAGAGCAGTTCTCTATAAGGCTTTTGGACATTCAGGATTGGTCAAGGTGTAGTCATTCCACTCCACCACGATCCGTCCCACCCATTTTGTAGTGGAGAATGTGGGGCTAAATATGAAAGGGGCGGAAAGTGGGATCATTCTCACTAAGTACTACCGACTGGAATCAAAGTTTGCGTGCTGTGATAGAAAATGAAAACTCTGGAATCCCACGAAAAGGCTCGTCCTCTCGGAAGCAAGTGAGCGAGTCCCAGATTCGGATCAAACGCGGAAGATCAGTGGATAGTCTATAGAATATCTTGTTTCCGGAACCCTGGGGAAAACGTCTATGCATCGGATCCCTGTTATAATATAGACTCCTTCAGACTATAGAGTATGAAGAAATACATCATGTCGTTGTCTCCAGATATGATGTTCCAATTCTTCACAAACACACATCGCGCTGCTTTTTGAACCAGAATCAACTCGACGCGCAGATGGCTGACGTCGATGCTACAATACTCCCCCTCGAAGGGTTCCCTTTGGCAATCTTCGCCGTGTCTCTTGTCTGCCTTTGTATTTCGACGATTACTATAGCATTAAGGACATATGTCAGGATTAATGACAATGCATTCGGCTGGGACGATAAGTTGATAGTTCTAGGACTGGTAAAGTCACTCTAGCTCTTCAATTCTCAACTTGAAGTTAACTTTTACTAGATCGTTTACATTGTCGATGTCGGTTTGGCTTGTCATGGTACTCGAGTTGGGCTTGGTTCACATAATGGCAGGCTAAATACCTTCTTCTTGGTACAAGGCACAAAGTACCTCATGCTATGGATGATGCTATATGTTCTAGGTCTGGCAATCATCAAAAGCTCGATTTGTGTGACTCTCTTGCGCATAGCTAGCGCGCACAAGACTTACCGCTTCTTCGTCTTGAGCTTACTCGGCCTCACTATCGCTACATTCTTGGTGACGTTTATTGGAATTCTGCTTCTATGTAGACCTGTGGCTGCAAATTGGGATACGTCGTTGGTAGCAGAAGGAAAAGGGACGTGTTCGGGCATGGGCACAATGATCGCATTGAGCTATACCTCGACAGCTTGTACCATTGTGACAGATCTGGCTTGCGCAGTATTCCCTGGTGTAATGCTGTATAGGACGCAGATGCCATTGGGAAGGAAGATACAAGTAGGCTTGCTTTTGTCATTCGCTTCTGTGTAAGACAATTCCTCAAATCCTCACTGCCTAAGCGTTCGATGTAACTAACCAGGGGTTTTCAATTAGTGCTTCAATATCGACAATGATTCGAGCACCGTACATTGAACACTATCGCACTCCCACTGATAATCTGCTCTGTAAGTTATCCAGCAGAGTTCTTTAATGACAATAATGCTTATAAATCTCTAGACTATACCGGTTTCATCGTTCTCCTATCCAACATAGAAACAGCAATTGGTTGTGTAGCAAGCTCGATCCCTACAGTCGGTCGCTTTTTCATGCGCAACAGCGCCACAAAGAAATCAACATCTGACGCAGATGGCCCAAAAGATCTCGTCACTTTTGGTAGCGCACCGATAAGTGCCCGACACAATACCAAAGGTCGAGTCTTTCGCAATCCTACCGACACCGGTACGACATTTGCTACAGTGCACGCACACGGAGATGGAGATTGGAGTAGACTGCACGATGGAGATTCCGATCACAACCCGGATCTAGATACTCAGCAGGGAATTCGCGCAGACTATACTTATCAAGTAGAGCTGTCTAAGTCGCCGAAACACAACCAGTCGGAATCTGTTAGGGAATTGGCCCATGATGGATCTTCATGTTAGGCAAGGGGAAAATTTATCTCTCATTCTTCTATTTTGTTATTTATACCCAGATCATCAAGGCGCATTTGGCGGGGGAATCTTTTAGTTGCAAAAAGTTAGACACTTACTGCATTGTACGATTAAAGAAATATTGACGGCTTTCATCATGTTAAAAAGATCTATCGTATTTGTTCCCATATTTTCCTAAAATCTTCATAAATACATAAGTGGGGCTGGCCAGACTCAAGATTAGCGAAAGGTTATAACTTGCGGAAAAATATATCATCCATTGACAAACCTTAAAACTGTGGACCATAGAGCAAGTGCTACTCAAGGGGCCATACTTTTATTCAAGTGTAAAGTAACAAAGACAGATCGGCAGGTTTCCATCAGTGGCAAAATCTGTGTCTACCGATTAGTCTATGGAGCCTTATAGCATTGAAGATACTGTTGGCGATCAAATGTGGAGTGAACATGCGGGTAAAGTTAAGCCTTGTATTCAATCGCCGCGAAGAAACCATTACTTGAAATCGAGAATTGAAGTAATACAAATACCAGAGAGCCACCAGAGTTGATCTCACACCCTCACTCTATAAGTCGTCCTCTTCATGCAATCTTTTCCAAACGTTATCCTATACATGGAGCGCTCTGGCCATCTACCGAGGCCGATAACGCGCATTTGGCATAAAACCCAAAAATAGATTTCTGCTTTCGCTAAAATCTTATTTAGAATTTAGTAGTGTGTATATAAGAAATAAATAATTCAACTCAGTATATAATCTTGAAAGAAATAATAAAACAAAAAGAAAACAAATCCTTCTATTAATTAGAATTCAAGGAATCGAATGATATAACTCTTTTTGAATTATCTTAAAAATTGAAATTTATATTCAATTTAATAATATTTCAAGAATAAGAAATTCAATATTAAAATTCAATCTTTTTTCAAATTCATTATAATATTTCTATATTGAATATAAATTTCAATTTTTGAGATAATTCAAAAAGAATTATATCAATCGATTCCTTGAATTCTAATTAATAATTATATCTCTTTTTCATTTATTTCTTCATTTCTATTAAGATTATATATTGAGTTGAATTCTTTTTTTATTGATGATATCAACCAAAGCTCAATTAGTCATCAACTTATTTGAGCTATTTAAAGCTTGATTAATCATCAATTTTAATATTTAAGGTATTTATATAAAACAGATTTATTGATTAGAACTATATTATATTGAATATAAATTTCAATTTTTGAAACAATTAAAAAATAGTAGTACTAATCGATTCCTTGAGCTCTAAATAATGATTCAGATTATTTTTTTTTTTTTTTATAAATTTGCTTAAGGTTGTATATTGAATTGAATTCTTTTTTTCAATATTATAAAAGTTATTCAAAATTATATTAGTAATATAATTTAAGCGAGATAAGTTTAAGTTTAAATTTGAGATAAGGAATTCTTATTAAACTCAATTCGCTTATTCTAGAGTGGTTTATGTATTATAAAGAAAACTATTAGAAAATGGATTTTAAATATTAGTATACTTTTTATAGAAAATTTTGAAACGAATTCTAAAATCAGATAAATAAAGCTAACCTTAAGGGCTATTCAGTAGTATATTTTTTCTTATAAAAAACCTTTAATAAGATTGAATTCTATTGTATAGAATAAGATTTCTATAAATACATTATATAGATTTTAAAATTTCATTTTAGCGAAAGTAGAAATCTATTTTTGGGTTTTATGCCAAATGCGCGTTATCGGTCTTGGTATATCTGACAAACAACGCTCCGATCAATATTAAAAAATCCACCGTCTTCTATATCGTAAACCATCATTGTTCACCCACCCGAAACTTTTGCTCAGATTCGGCCAACTTTGTGCCAATTCGAAATCTTGCCGCGGCGACGGTGACCAGATGAGTACGGCCTGTGCGTGGGTTCTCGCACGTGTAAGGATATAGAGACCGGACGCTCATCGTCGGCGAGATAGCGGCGTATGCTTTTTCTGCATAGTGGAGAAGGTGGGTCAATGAGCGAGCAGATGATTGACGAGAGTGTATTTCTTCGACTGCAAAGAGGTGATGTCAGCTTACTATTGTGTAGGCAGGGAGATTCAGTATAGGAACTGAAAGTGAGGTGTATGTGCCCTAGAATACGATGCTGATGGGGAGGAGAAGCAGAGTGGAGGTGAAAAATCCAAAGAGAAATACCCATGGAGGGCTCTTAATTCACAAAAAGGAAGAGTCAATCTAACTTTGGGGGTATAGAAAACCGAACGAGGTATGAGGGACGAAGATATGTGAAGTATGGCACATGAAAAATTTACAGTACTTGAAAACTGAGAGGGATTCACAATTATAATCCGAAGAGTGCTCGGCCACGCTTGTGACCCCTCCGTTCCA